GGAATCAATTGAACAGTTTTATGCAGGGAAAGCGTGTGGTGGATTAGTGTTTAGTAAGGGGCACTCTGGCTGCTGTATGGAGAATACATTTGAAGGAAGATGGAGTTAAGTCAGCAAGTCTGGTTAGGAGACGGCTGAAGTAGCACACATAAGACAAAGCTCTGGACTGCTCTTTCGTTTGGGCAATAAGACTACAGAGAAGGGAAGTAATTGAGGGGAAAAGAGGTAAACCAGCCACAGTGGGGGTTGATTTGATGTATGATGGAAGAAGAGACGATCAAGGAAGAATGTTGACGTTCAACTGGGGAAATTTAGTGCTTAGTGATGCTGAGATAAGACATTTAAGGTTTTTACCAAAAAAGTTTGAGAAGTTAAATTATTTACTTAAGGGTATGTTAAGTTTGAGATGCTTGTGAGTCATCTAAAGTGAAGAGGTTCAATAAATAGTTTATGCAGAGACAGAATTCAGAAGAGATTTCATCTAAAACATGGATTTGGAAGTCATCAGCAGATATGGAAATTGAAACGATTCAAAGGATGTGGATCATTCAGGGAAAATGAGAACAGAACCTGGTGGAACAAAAGCAGTCAAAGGGAGGGTAAAAGGAAATGAGCCTACAAAGTTGATGGAGAATTGGCCTGAACAGTACGAATACAATCATGAGAGCGTGCGGACTGAAAACGAAGGCAAGGACTGATGGGCGGACAGAGCAGTCAGCAGTGCTGTTTGCATCTGTGAACACCAGGCAAGTTAAGGACAGACAATTGAGTGACATGGATGAGAGCAGTTCCAGTAGAGTCGAGAAGGGCACGTGCTGGTTTATGATACTCTCACTTCTTTCCTTTTCTTTTTCCTTTGGGCTGTGCTCTGTGAATTATGTGAAAGCTAAGAGTACAGGGGGGCCCAGGGAAGACCTCTTTCTCCCGTAAAGTGCAGGAGCTATAAGAACATTCTTTGTGATCCTTTGGAACTCTTTTTGCTCACCTTTTGGTCTGCATTTTTGCTTGCAGTAATTTAGATTTCTTGATTATAGAATGATGAAATACTATTTGATTAAGTTGCTGAAAGACTTTTGTACAAACCCAGTGGAGAAATAAAAATGTTTTTATGCATTGGATTAATTTTAATTACCTAGAACACCACAAGCATTAATATTTTAGTCCAGGAAAAATTTGCTTGTATAAATGTGATATTCTTGGAAACATTTTTTAATTTCTTTGAAAACAAAAAAGCACCTATTACACACCCAGGCTGCATGTATAGATACTACTTCTAGGCTAAAACCTACCTGTACAGTAGGTTACTATCCTCAGTACTGTAGGCCGTAGGAATACAATGGCATTTGTATATACCATAAAAAGGTACAGTAAAAATAAGTTATTATAATGTTATGGGACCACAGTTGTGTATGTAAACCAAAATCCTAAGCCTGTGTCATTACATGGCTTAGAGTAATGTATATGTCACACTCATTTCTCCTGTGAAACAGGTTATTGTACTTATTTTATAGATAAGGAAACTGAAACTCAAAAATGGTTAAACTGAGTGCTTGTGGTCACATAGAATGTGGTTATAGAGCAGCGGTTCTCAACCTGTGGGTTGCGACCCACAGGAACTGTATTAAAGGGTCACCTCCAGGCTCTCAGTTATCCCCACCTGCCCCACCACATTTCTAACTGTTGTCTCTGTAGCTCTCATGGCCTCCAGAGGTTACTTTTCCACCCTTGGGAATTCTAGAGAAATTAGAAAAAACAAATTCCCCAAAGTGGACAAAAATACCGGCCTCTGTCAGAGATCGTGATTAATGAAAGATGAGGAATTTTGAAAGTTTATGAACTCCGACAAGTCTGAGCTTTTCTTCCGTTCAGCCTTTGCCTAATTGGCAGGAGTCACTACCTCGTAGAAGCACTTGGCTCTACAGAAAGTTTTGTGTGTCATCAGCGTAACCTGCAAGATCAGGGTGACTTTGCAAAACTTGCTTCTCTAGAACATTCAGATTGCGTCTAAGGAAGGTCTTCCCTTGTGGTTTAATTCATCATGACCACTTAAGTTTCAAATTGCAGTACAGAGATGATTAAAATAGTTAAAGAAGTTTCTCTGTGAGTGCTGATAATCAGACACTTTTTTGCTACAAAAAGGCAGAGTTTACACCTGAGTTTGCCGAAAAGAATTAGTGGGGCTTCTGGGAACCCTGAATCTGAAAACAGTACTCAATAAATACTTTTCATAAAAAGTGCTCTCACTATTAACACAGGCCTCTGTTGTGGGATCATAGGAAATTATTATCTGCCTAGTGCTCCTGCATGCTCAGCATTGCTCTTTTAAAAATGTCTTGTTTGATTGTCTTACCATCTCTGTTAGGGAGGATTCTATTAGGGAGAAATTGAGAAATTAAGGCTAGAGACGTTAAAAACCTTACCCTTAGGCATACACTGAATGGGGCTGGGAATTAAATTTGGAGGTAAATAAAATTTCTGTTAATAAAATCAGACATAAATTTCATAGCTTCTACAAAATCTGAAAATACTCATGTCTTTTAACTCAGTGTTTCCATGATAGCCATACTTTGTACACATTATCAGAGATGTAGGTACAAGAATACTCACCAAAGTGCAATTTTAATAGCAAAAAAGGTTTTTAAAAATCAATCCACCCAAATGTCCATCAATAGGGGGAGCGATTAAATCATGTTGTATCCATCATCCTGGGAAGTGCGGTGCAGCTGGGGTCAACTATGAAATAGAATGACTACTGACATGGAAAGACAACTAAAATTAGATGAGAGAAAAAGCTATTTGCAAAATAATGTGTTTAATGTAACACTTTTTTTGCAAAAACAATAATAAGAGGGAAGAGGAAGAAAATAAGATTAGTGTTTATTGAGAGAAGAAAACTCATTGGTAGCAAGAGTGCCATACTCTGTGTGATTACTGTCATTGAGGTGTGAGATGACACAGTACCTATATTTCCAGGGACATGTTATTCAGGTAGTGGGTATTTATTGAAAGTCTGCTGCGTGTCAGGTGCTAGGTGTGGAGGGTGTCCACGGAACTTGCATTCTCTGTTATTCAAGGTAGAAAATTAGAATGTAAATAGATTAACATTTGAATTTTGGTTAGCAAAGTCTAGCACTTTTATAATATGGACATATTTTTTAAGATTAAAAAAACCAAAGGGGGAGGTGGGTTCTAAGAAAGCCAGCAGCCTTGCTGCTCATGGAGGACTGGTTGTGAGGGAAGAGGCTAGAAACCAAAATAAAGCCAATAGGATAAATCATTTAGGTCCATAAATTCAGACGTTGCCCCCAAACCAGAGACATGACATGGGTAGTAAACGGTGAAAGAATATAAACCATGGGGGGATTTATTTATAAGCAAGTATGGAATTTGTAGGGAGTCAAATCTGAATGCTTTGGTGTTCATTACCACTGGTATTCTGCCTTGCCTATGTTTTTTGAACCCTAGTCCCCGCCAAAGCAAATTAAACATTTAATAATCTGTGGTATCTAAGTACAGTTGGACAGGGTCCCTTATAGGAACAGTCAGTGTCTCCCTCCAGGCTAAATTGCTATCAGTTTAGTCCACTTTGCCTGCAAACTTCCTCTGACTTGCCTCAGTGGTTAAGGAATGCTTGATCTTGCCAATTCTTTGTGCCACAATGTTTTCATTTTCCCAGCTTTGCCTTTTTGAGAGCCAGACCCAAAGAACAAGCAATTATTTCTTGTTAGGACAATACAATTTGGAAATAAAAAGAACTTTAAGAACAAAAAGTAAATGATCCTCAAATATGTATGTATATGTGCTCAGGGGTGGAGCCATCCGCCAAGAATATTTGGAGTTTCCACTGTGTTCTGTGTACACATACCGCCAAACACATACGTTTATGTCTATGGTTATCCATAAACTTGGTTATGAATGTAATGATGTCGTAATGTATGTGCCTATCTATCCCCTCTTATAATTGAGGTACGAATAAAAATTTAGAAACCATCATCAAAGTTTGAAACAGAAATCAACAAAGCAAAAAATGAAATAAAACAAACAAAAAAAATAAACAGAGCTGTAGTTATTTGCTTGCCGGGCAAACAAGAGCCAGTGTCACTTAAGAAATGAGTTCCGTGGATCTCCCTAAGCTGAAAGCAGAAGGGCTAGAAGAAAATAACCATTTCATATTATGAGACTATTCTAGGCAATATCCTACATTATTAAATTCTGTTTACTCAAGAAGTGGCTTGTAGAATTTCCCATAGAACTGACCATTTTTATACTTTTTGGACAGACACAATTTTCAAAGAGGTCAGAGACTATACCAGTTGGGCTTGGGATCATTTAGCAGATTCTTGGGTGTGCACACGCTTGGGAATTTGCACATTTTTTTGGTCTATAACACTCAAAGGAAAACTACATAGCAAAAATTATCTGGGATCTTTCACTTTGTGAGGTACATTAGCCCAATCCCCTGTCAGTTGGGTACCGTGAAGATGCCTGTTGTGCAGTTGAGGGACTGGCAGCCCACGAGTAGAGTAACTTCACCAATTCCGCAAACATTTCTTGAAAAATTATGTCTTAGATTCTCATTCTACAAGTGGATTCATATTTCAGACTGTTTTGCCTTGCTGCTTCTGTGTTTTACTGCCTTTTCAATGTTTAAATACTTCTTGAAATTACATACAAATGATAAAAGCTGTCTTTTTACAGTATTAAGTTTCAGGGACAGGATTCATGTACAAAAATATAATTGCATTAGAGCCTCTAAAGTTTAATTTGATTTGTAGAATTTCAGTTCACAGATTTTTAGAGCCATAGCTGCATACAGCAAAATGAAATCATGCTTTGTGCAATGCACCTCCTTACACCAATTCTCAGACCCCCAGTATTACAAAAGGTTATTCTGGTCTTCTTTTAGGAACCCCAGAATAAAACGAACAGAAACTAAAGCACACAACACATTGACCATCGTGTTCATATCTCTTTATCTTTTCTCTGCTTGTGTGTTCCAGGTGGGAGAGTTCAGAGCACATGCTGCTGAGTGGACAGCCAATGTCACAGCAGAATTCAAAGAAACCAGGAGGCGGCTGAGTGTGGAGATTTACGACAAGTTCCAGCGCGCCACCTCCATTAAGAGGAAGCTCTCGGCAGAACTGGCTGGGAACCACAATCAGGAGCTGACTCCCTGTAGGAGGACCCTGTCAGTGAACCACCTGACCAGCGAGAGAGATGTCTTGCCTCCCTTACTGAAGACTGAGAGTATCTATCTGAATGGTTTGACACCACACTGTGCTGGCGAAGAGATCGCTGTGATTGAGAACATTAAATAGCCCTCTCTTTGAAGAGCCTTAGGCGTAGCCATAGGTGAGGACCTCTATATGCTCTTTATGACTGTTGCTGGTAGCATTTTAAAAATTGTGCATGAGCTCAAAAGGGGGAAAATAGATACACCCATCATGGTCATCTACCATCAAGAGAATTTGGAATTCTGAGCCAGCACTGTCTTTTTGATGATGCTTGTTGATGGGTCCACGTTCTTTGACCAATGGAATGACAAGCGATGTCTGATGCCTTTTTGCGCCCAGACTGTTTTTCTCCCCCCTTCCCTAATGTGCCATAGGCCTCAGATTGAGTTATAATTGTTTTTGGTAATAATGTAGCTTTGAGGGATCAGTCCTTAACTTTTCAGGGTCTACCTAACTGAGCCTAGACATGGACCATTTATGGATGACAACATTTCTTTTTGTAAATGGCAAGAAATTCTTATGCAGCCTTTTACCTAAGAAATTTTCTGTCAGTGCCTTATCTTATGAAGAAACAGAACCTCTCTAGCTAATGTGTGGTTTCTCCTTCCCTGCCCCCACCCCTAGGCTCACCTCTGCAGTCTTTTACCCCAGGTCTCCCGTTTGAATACCATACCTTGCTGGAAAAGTGTGTAAAAATGACTGAAGTGATGATGCCTGAAGAAGGAAATAGATGCCAAATTAGATGGACACTGAAGCAACACTCAGCGTTGCCTAGCGTTAAAGGCACTGCAGAGAAATGAGATGTAAAGATGGCCCCTCTGAGTATTTATTTGACTCAGGTACCAATGGTACATTATACAATGTCATTATGACCAGGCTGGAAACATTGGCTGCTCCAAACACTCCCCCCTTTTCCTGGCAGTATTGGGGAATTTATCATTTAATAATAGCTATTTTTTAAAGGCCGAAGAAGAAAATCCATAAATATATATATAAAGGAACTGACAGAAGAAAACTGTTAAAAATGGGTATTATTGGAGGTGATTTAAAATAATGGGTGAAAATTACCAAAAATACGGGGAAAAATACAAAAACAATGTGTTATGAGTATTTGCTAATAAACATTATACTGCCAGCATCTATTTGCTTTTTGGTGTTTGAAAGACTTACATAATTTTCTTTCCTTGGGTGGCTTTTGCCAGATGAGGGGAGGTGACACAGCAGTCAGCAGTGGGCACAGCCCTCGCCTTCTGTGGGTGGACTTTTGGAGCTGTGACCGGCTGTGTGAGCGGAAGTTGAAATTGGGATCACTGTGACTCTGCACGGGGAAAAATGCAGATTGGAGGCATAATTCATCTCTGACATTAGAGAAAAAGCTGTTGTAGCACAATTTAAATCTTGAGAGTTTTGAGAGTTTTTTTTTTTTTTTTAGATAGAAAAGGCTGATTATTCTGTTTAGTTTAATTTTACGTCCTATAATTATTTGGATGTTTCCAAGGTTGAAAAAGTGAAGTTGTCCCTTCAGTTCCTACCCTTTTCTTTATTTTCTTACTTAGATCTGCTGTACATTGTATATATAATTTTTAAAATGTAGAAAGAAAAATGATTTCCCTACATATCATTGCAAAATTGATTTCTTTTCCTGTTTGTTTGGTGGAGAAGCTGTATCTGAATTAGCGGCATTCAGATTGAAGGTCTTTAAGATACACCTAGGATGTTAAAAAAAAGAAAAGAAAGTAATAGATGCTTATTTTCCAAAATTTAAATTTAAGCTAGAAGTGTAAATATTCAGATAACTTGTTAAAGGTACTTTTATAAACTTAAAAAAATTCTAACCAAAATTTTAGAAAGTCAGGCTCTTTTAGAAAGAAAGCTACACCCATTTCCTCAACAACTGTTCTGAAAATTCATATGGTGGAATGCACCATGTATAAACTGTGAATTGTATTGACAAATAAAGTTTGTAATTAAAATCAGCATTTTCTGAGTCTCCTGCTTGCTGCTGAGAATGTATGTCCGCTCTATCTGAGTAGAGATCTGAGAATGTATGTCTACTCTATCTGAGTAGAGATCCAGGATGTCACTTTTCATGCTGGGATTTTTATGGCTTCTTCATTCACAATATTCAAGAAATATTTTTGATGCACTGAGGAATACATGCAGGGTGTTTTTCTTGGTACAACTGTTAATCTATACTGAATATACTGAAATTTATTTTTGAAATAAGGTATTTGAGGTAGCATATAAATTCAAGATTGTTTCGGTTACATTGTAATATATTCCTAACATAGTTTGTCATTGTAGGACCTTGTCTTGACACTGAAGTGATTTGAATGCTGAATGCAGGTATCTGTATGTTTGTTGTAAGAAAAAGACAAGCAGACATCCTTATAGGAGAAACCCTGAAGAAGGCAGTTGCCATCCAGTCTTTTAGGTCTTAGACTAGGGTGACCATATTTTAACATTTGTAAAGTGGGGCAACATGGCCGGGAGAGGGGGCGGGGGGGGGAAGGGGGGGCAGGGCGGGGCCTGACAATGTAAACTTTGATAAGCAGTTCTCGATAATCACTTCTCAACAGTTATTTTTTATTATTACAGTTTAACGTTATAAAATTAACAAAAATAATATAAAACTCATATTCTGGCGAAATAGCCACAGGCAGCCAAAAACTGCATATTCCCTTCCTGTTCTCCCGCCCATTCGTGCATTCCTTCCAAAAATCGGGACTTTTTAAAAACACCACAGGACACAGAACAAATTGTTAAAAAGCGGGACTATCCCGCCAAAAGCGGGACATCCGGTCACCCTATCTTAGACTCCCAAATATTTGGGCCATTTATCCTGTCTGCATCCTGCATAAATTTATTGATTCATTCCTAAACAACTTGATTGTCAATAAATATCCTAAAGCTGGTTCCCAGCTTTCCCCATTCTATTCTTGGGGAAAAATGCAAGAAAGTATATGTGTTATCATCAATTGACATCACTTTTACTTTCTCAAACTTTCATCTGCTTACTTTTCGTGGAGAGAATATTGCTATGGATTTTGACATAGTCTGAAATTTTCTAGTGAGTTTATTTTTTTCCATTAGACCATGTCTTGAAAGATATTTGGGAAAAGTAAACAAACAAACAACAACAACAAAACCCAGAAATATTAGAATCAGAAAGGATCAAGAACGCCTTAATCATATCCTAGACACAGATTCTGGACACTTCTCTTTATTCACCTAGAAGTGATTCTTTGGAGTTTTTTCAGTATCTTACCTGGATCTATATACTTTGGGACATAGTTCATGTCACACATGTTTTTCCCCAATAATATTTCACTTTTGCAATGCAGGGAAAAGTGAAACTTCTGAAACCCAGAGGGAATTGAAAAATGTGCACCTTGGCCTTCAAAACCAGCAGGGAGTAGAAGCCGGCTGGGGCTTTATTTCTTCTAGAAATTAGGAGGAACACAATACATGTAAGAACAAATGCTGCCTAAATTGATGTTTAAAATCAGTAGAATTTTAAATTGATGTTTAAAATCAGTAGAATTTTTTGATACTTGAAGCTAGAAGTTGAAAGAGAGTTTAGGGAAATTTTAGATGAAATGCCTCCCCCAAATTTACCTATTCTGAAAACTTGAGATGGCTTTTCATGCCTAAGAACTAGAAGAACTAAAGGTCTGGATCAACTTTTGTTTTTCTTTCTTTCTCTTTTTAAATTTTTGCTATTTAGTTAAAAATGAGTTTTGTGACTTTCATTTCTTACTAAGATGTGCATATAAATTTGGTTTTGTATAATGTAAGGTAAAAATTAAATTAACGTGTGATTTTTGCTTTAGCACACGTTTCTTTAGACGTCCTTTTGTAGTGAAACTGGCCTGGCATAGCTCATGTGGCTGTTCCAAGATAGTGTAGAGTAAACTGGTTACTTCTAGTTGACACTTCTGAGTTATTGTGGTTCTCTTAATAAAGGGGAAGGCTTCACAAACTCCACCTGCTTTTTCCATCCACCCCTTCTCCCCACCCCCCCCCATCTCATAGGTTTATATCTTTTATTCCATACCTGACTTCCCCCCTCAACTATGCATTCCTGAAAGACAGGAAGGACAGGTATTGGTTTCAAGGACCAGGAGTTTCAGTTCTGCTCTTCTGTTTTGACTCAGTGCTGTTTGTTTGCCACGCACCAGCTTTTACTAATTTCTTACATTCACAAAACCATTTATTATTTTCCTGGTATTAGTATTTTTTTTTTT